AAGTAAATTATTAACACTAATTGAGGTACATCTGCCTTGTTCTATAAAAAAACTGATGAGTTATTTTAAGTGTGATTTGAAAACTAAGTAAAACTCAAGTTATGACATAGTGGTATTTTCTGAATTGCTAGTATTTTGAACTTAAAAGTATTCAAAATGAATATTGAGAAGACCTTGTAACAGTAGTACAGTATTTTGAATTATAATGGTATATTTTAGCCATGGTTTCAGAGACATTCTAATTGGTATAAGAGTTGGGAAAATGGGAGATAATAAAAATTAGTAATCTGGACTACCAATATTTAAATGTGTTTTAAAATAGTTACTTGTTTTAAAATTTAGGAATAATTGAAAACTTTTATAGAGGGAAAAATCACAAACACAGTTTCTTATGGGCAGTAGTATTTTTTTAACATTTATTGTCTTAAGTTTTTTTAAGTGGAGTTCTAAAAAATTCTTAAATTGAATGTATAGTATTCCTTATAAAAAATAGAAGTATTAGGAAAATATGAAAAAATTGCAGAAGTAATATAATTTAAAGAATCTTTTACTGCCTTTTTTAGAATAAGTAAATACAACAGTGTTTGGGAGTTTAATAGATTCTTAGAATTGTAAGATAGTGTGTCAGTCTCATTTTATGATAAGTTTACATTTTAACTATTCTCACAGTTAATAGAGAATATTCTATTTATAAACTTCAACTTCTTCAGTTTATAAAGAAGTTAGTGAAGTTTCTGGCAATGTGGTAAAATAGGTGCATTTTGTCTCTATCCGAGTTACCTGTGGAAGCAAATTAGCTAAAGCAAAACAGTAGGTTGTCCCATATTGTTACTTGGAAAACAGATTTCATCCACATCTCTGAAACTTGGGGTTTTTGTATAGACAGTATGGGTGAGAAAGGATGACTGCAGAACTATCTCCTGCTCTCTGATTATCCTCATGAACTAGTGGTATGGTAATAGGAAGCTTGCCTGAAAGCTCTGCCCTGAACCTGTTTCTTAAATAGTGTCCTGTTTATACATATTTGTGCTGAACACTTCCTGTAAATAGATGGATCCCCACCTGAGTATGCTGCCTTGGGTCTCTGCTCTGCAAGCTAAAATAATGAAAAATCACTACATGCATGAGGAGAGGGAGCAATTTGAAGGGGATGGGGACTAGGAAACCAAATTGACTTCCATGTACATTGATCCTGCTGAAAGAGCTCACACAGCAGAGAGGTGGAAAAGATGGAGATAACTTTAGCAGCTGTGGTGTAACCAATATTCTTGTGCTATGTGAGTGAATGTCTTAATGGGGCAGCATCATTAACAGTAATACAAATGCTATTCTAAGTAGATGTCTTTTAGTGTGGTGTGACTTGCTTAACTTACTGGTTCATCTTATTTTCCAGGTTCTGTTCACCAATTTCCTATCATTTGACTACCTGGTAGTTTTCCAGTAGGTTTTGCTTAATTTAACTGGAATTGATTTCCTTGCTCACCTTTTCAAATTGGATTAAAAATTCTTACTGTGTGGTTTTATGAATTTTATGTAAGTGAAAATGACACATTGAAAATAAAAGAGTGGCAAAAATACTACTACAGCTTGCAAGTTTCATTGACATCAAAGGCTAAAACCTCTCTAGGACAAAACTTTAGAGTTGAAAAAAAATTTTAATAAAAAAATTAGGGCTACTGAACAGTATCCAGCTTGAACTTAAAAAAAAAAAGCTATGATTAATTTTCTTTAAAGATAATTATTTACAGAGGTGGGGGAAGGAGGGGGAGAGAAACATTAATCGGTTGCCTCTTGCACACACTCCCATCTGGGGGTTAGGCCCACAACCCAGGTGTGTGCCCTGACTGGGAATTGAACTGGTGACTTTTTGGTTTGCCAGACAATGCTCAGGTAGCTGAGCTATGTGAGTCAGGGCCCAGCTTGAACTTTTATGTGATAAACACAAACAAATAAATAGCATTATAGCATATGAAATAGAGTTTCTTTAGAGAAGTTGATAAAACTAGTCTTTTTAGGATAATTTAAGAAATTAAGTAAAAATTACGACCAAATATTTGAGTAGCAATATGCTTTATTTAACAGACATACATCAGACTGTTTCCAGTAGAGAATACACATTCTTTTCAAAGTCCTGTGAATTCTTTTGAAATTGTGCCTTGGGGTTCAATGAGAATTTGCAATTTTAAGTTAGAGAAATTGTATAAGCCGATATTTTTGACTACAGTAGAGTAAAATGATGTTAAAGCCAAAATGATTCTAACTGAATCCAAACTGAATTTAACATTAAAACTGTGTGTCCTATTAGGACTTGAGCTTAAATTTCATACTATTTAGAAATGAACAGCATCATGACGCATCAAAGCTCATAGGTGAATGAATACTCATTTAAACATGGTGGATTAAATACCATATTTTTTTTGCCATCAAAATGGAATTAACTTTGTAAAAATAGGCATAGGGTGTCAACAGCAAGGAAAACTGAAAAGTTGATCACAGAAGCAAAATTTTTTTTAGGAGCTAGAAAGCAAAGATATATAAATAACTATATAAGAAAATTTATTAGTGGGAGAAGGCCTAGAATTGGTGCTATATATAGTCTTGGGATGTTTCAGGTATTCGTTGCTGCAGATACCTTGAAAGAATTGTCTAAATAGTCCATAATAAAAAGCAACACATGGTGCCAGGAAAGGGGTCTCTTCAAGTTTCTTACCTGATGCAAAGAGGATCTATGCTCTTGACAACACTATGCACAGCTTGGCTTTAAGGGTCTCACACTGAAATACTTAGAGAATTGAGTAGAAATCTACATGTTGAACTGGGAATCAACCTGGCCTCTTTTCCCTTACTAGTTCTGAGGATACTGGAAGTTAGGCTTCTAATCCCAGAATGAAAGATTGGAAAATTCATCCTGTTAAGCAGACAGTCAGGAAAAAAGACGAGATAACAACAAATGGGGATCCACCAGGGAGATGGCCCAGACTGATCATCCTACAATGACACCTATTATCTTGGAAATTCTAGCAATTTTTGAGTGTTTCATTTTAAAATATGAGATTGAGGATCATCAAACATTTGAGGGTAACTTCATATGAAAGAAAAGAAGGAAATAGAAACATTTCAGAAAAAAACTTCTTCAGAAAGTTACTGATATCTTTAGAAGTAAGGGGATAATTGTGTCTTTGAAACAAAGAAAGGATGCTCTAAAGGCCAATCAGAAAACAGTGAGCTCTTGGACATTTAGGACAGGAAATAGGATTGGAAATAGAGAGTATGAAACAATACAAGAGTTAAAAATTTAGACTTAAATTCATGGTGCAAGGTTGGAAGATAAAATTGAGAAAACCATAAAGCAGAACAAAAATATGTAGAGTAAAATAAAAGGTCACATTTGGTAAGTTCAATATGTGAAAATTAAGTATTACAGAATAGGAGGAAAATGAATGAAGGAAATCATTTAAGAATAATGGAACAAAAGTTGTGAATTTCCACCTCAAAAGGGCTCCCAGAATGCTTCCAGTACATGATGGTGAAATTTTGGACACCAGAAATAAGGGGAGATTCTAAAAGCTTGGGTATGGAGTGTCTAAAAAAAGACCAGGAGTCACTAACGTTAGTAGGTAATAATGGAATAGTATCTTCAAAATCCTGAAGGGAGTAGGCTAAAAAGCACTGTATTGCAGGAAGTTGCTAGAAGACATGGGTTCCATTAAAATGTTGGGGTAAATAGTAAAGAGAGGATCCAGAGCAGGAGAGAAGTGACCACTTAGGATGATGATAAAGGGTGATGCAAGGAGGTTGGCTTTGCAAGTAGGTCTGAAGAGTAGTCAGTTTGGGAGGGGACAGAGGGATTTAGATGGTAGGTCTAGAAACAAACACTAGTAGAATTTCTGTGACTGTACATAGGGGATATTTATCTGTAGTTTCCTGTGATTTTGTGTAGTTTTGTTACGAAGGTAATGGTCTCAAAATGAGTTAGTGAATGTTTCTCCTTTTTCTGTTTTTTGAAAGAGTTTGGGAAAGATTGGTATGAATTCTTTAAGCACTTGGTTTAAAGGTACATTTCACCAGAGAAGCCATCTGGTCCTGGGTTACCTTATGGGAAGTTTTTTCATTACTCCCTCAGTCTCTTTACTTGTGGTAGGTGTATTCATATTTTCTGTGTTGTCTTGATCAGATTCAGTATTTGTGGGTTTTTTTCTGGGAATTTATTTCATTCAGATTACCTGTTGCCACTTAAAATTTCTTATTATAAGGTCGGTGGTAAGGACCCTGTGTTCATTCCTGATTGTAATAATTGTCTTTTTTTCATGGTGAGCCTGGCTGAAGGTTTGTCAATTTTGTTGCTATTTTCAAAGACCCAACTTACTATTACTGATTTTTCTCTATTATTTTTAAATTCAGTTTTTTTAAATTTATGGCATAGTCCTTGTTTTATTCGTCTCTCTGCTTTGGGTGTAGTTTGCTCTTTTTCAGTTTTTTTTTTTTTAGGTAGAAGTTTAGGTTATTGATTTGAGGGGTTTTTTTTAAATGTAGGTATATATAACTATAAATTTCCCTTTAAACATTGCTTTCATTTCATCCCTTAAGTTTTGGTGTATTATGTTTTTGTATTCACCTCAACATATTTTAAAGTTTTTATTTATTTTTAAAGCAAGGGGAAGGGAGGGAGAAAGAGGGACAGTTGTCAGTGTATGGTTTCCTTGCGTGTGCCCCAACTGGGGACCTGGCCTGCAACCCAGGCATGTGCCCTGACGGAATCAAACTGACAACCCTTCAGTTCACAGGCCAGCACTCAAGCCACTGAGCCACACCAGACAGGGCTATATTTTATAATTAACCATGTGGGTTTTTTTCTTTGACCTGTTGGTTATTTAGGAGTTGGTTACTTGATTTCCACATGTTTGTTAATTTCCCAGATTTCCTTCTTATTTATTTCTAGTCTAATTTCATTTTGTTTGGAGAACATATTGTTTGATTTAATTTCTTTCAAATTTATTTAGGCTTGTTTTAAGGCCTAATATCTGGTCTGTGCTGGAAAATGTGCACTTGAGAAGAAAGCATGTTCAGCTGTGGAGTGTTCCTTATATGAGGTCTGTCCAGAAGATATCCAGCCATGTAATATGAAAAATAGAGACATTTATTGAAGAAGATAGAAGAAGCATTGGACATAGGATAATGAAGCTTCAGTTCCCTTCACAGTAAGCACCTTGGGACCTCATATAGTTCTCCCAGTTGCCATGAGCTGCCTCTTCATATTTTCCTGAATCTTCATTGACCGTCTGAAATCTCTTCCTTTTCAAAGGTGATTTAGTTTTGGGAAAAGCCAGAAGACTTGGGGTGCCAAATCTGGGCCTGGGGGTGCTGGGTCACCTGGGTGATTTGATGTTTTGCCAAAAAACTCTGCACGAGATGTGATGCATGAGTGGGCACATTGTTGTGTTGAAGCTGCCAGTCACCAGTTGCTCATAGCTGTGGCCTTCTAAATCATCCAAGTAGTTTCTATAGAGGAATGTTCAAGCTTAATGCAAAATTTGATGCAGATTCATTGCTCTACAGGCTGAGTCATTTTGAATGCCATAGCCACAAAGTACACATGGTACACATGCTCAGTCAGTGGCATCTACTGCCCCACTGACTAGTATGGTGAAGTGTCATTGTTCACACATGTGCATTCCAGTCCACTCTCCTTGGCTGCCAGGTTACATCGATGTCGCATAAGTTGTTCTCATTATAACCAACGGCTGGAGTTTTTCTGGACAGGCCTTGATATTGGAGCTTTTCTAAGACTCCAGTTTTGCTTTATAAGTTTTTTTGACCAGTTTATTTTTTGTCTCAATTGTTATCCACTGCCCTCAGTCAGCTGTAATATTAACAATGTCCTCTGATTGCTTTTTTTTTTAAGATTTTTTTAGAGGGGAAGAGAGGGAGAAAGGGAAAGAAACATCAATGTGTGATTGCCTCTCACAGTGCCCCCTACTGGGCACCTGGCCCACAACCCAGGCATGTGCCCTGACTGGAATTGAACTGGTGACCCCCTGGTTCCCAGGCCCATGCTCAATCCACTGAGCCACACCAGCCAGGGCTTCTCTGATTGTTTTTGACAAACACCTTTAGGAAAAAGAATTTTTGCACTGGTTAAGTTCTGAGTCAGGTCAAATTAGTATAGGTTTGGGTGTAGGGGCTTCTGTGACACTACTAAATTTGTCAAATAATGACAGTCCTTGGGGAATGGGGTAGTAAGAGAGCTTCCACACCTCAAGTGGTTGCCAGGCTGCTGGTTTTCACAGGACTTGTAGAGTGTTGGCTTTTTTTACCCCTAGTTAAACAAAGATTTTATTGCTTGAGTGTGTAGACATTTTACGCAACCAGGGCAGAAGCTGTGGATGATTTGTGTTTCCATTTGGGGATGGGGGGGACTCATTTGGTCTTATAATATGAAGCCCAAACTGGTGAATACAGGTCTCTATCAAATCAGAGGGAATTACCTATTCTTATCCTTTTTATTCCTCTCAGGATGCTTTGATCAGCAACAACTTTCTTAATTAAATGGTTAGAGAGCCTCTGGAAGATCAGGAGCAAGTCCTTTGGACTTGAGAATTCTTGAGATTGTATTTCCTGTTCACATACTTATGAAATACCATGTGAGTCTCTAAGAATCACACCCATCTGTGAGAGAGTTAAGCACTTCCTGGCCAGTTTCTAGACCTGCTCATTTATCTCCTAAAGGTCAACTTCAGCCAGGTGGGGATGCTGGGACAGTAGGGTAGAGCCAACTGACACACGTGCTTCCCAGGGCAGGAGCATGCATGCAAACCATGATGACTGCGGCAGGCAGTGAAAAAGAGTGACAGTTGGGAACTCGGCAGGAAGCCACCCAGCACACAGGAAGTCAGAATCTTGGCTTTCTAAACTACTGTGGAACTGGGGTTGGAGGATGGGAATAGGACAAAATAAAATGCCACAAACTTTGCTGCGCTCACCAAGATTTCGCTCTCTTTCTTGGGTAAGCTCTCCCCAGATTGCTGCAAGCCTTTAAATAATTTTTAGAGTTTGGGAAAGTCGACTGGCTATTTTTGCCAGTGTTCTTTTTGATTTTATAGAGGAGGCAATTTTCAAATGTCCTCATTTTGATATTTTTGCTGTGTTTTATTGTTGAGTTTTAAGGTTTTTAAAAAATATTTTAGATATTAGCCTTTTGTTGTATATATAGTTTGCAAATATTTTTTCAAATCTTTCATTTTCTAATCCTCTTTACAGTGTCTTTGACAGAGTAAAAGATTTTTATCCCTTTACTTTTAGTCTGTGTGATCTTTTGTTCTGAAGTGGGTCTCCTGAAGACAACATATGTATGGGTCTTGTTTTCTTATCCATTCAGCAGTGACTCTGTTTCTTTTGATTGGAACATTTAGGCCATTTACATTTCAAGTGATTATTGATATATGTGTATTTATTGCCACTTTATTTTTTAAAATATGTTCCTCTGTTTTTTTCCTCCTCCTCATTCTTCTTATTCACATTCTTCTCCTTCCTCCTTTTCCTCTTCCTCTTTTTCCTCTACCTCTTCTTTCCTTTCCCTCTTTCTCCATTTGTTATGATACTGGTCTGGTGGTAACAAACTCCTTCAGCTTTTGATGAAGTTTATTTATCAAATTTTTCCTTTTCTGGATCATGCTTTTGGTGTTATTTCAAAGAACTCTTTTTTTCTAGCTCTAGATCCTGATTTTTCTTTTCTGTAAGATTAACAGTTTTACATTTAAACCTATAATCTATTTTGAATTAATAATATTGGTATAGTGTGTGAGATTTTGGTCAGTACTTTTTTCCCCACTATGTATAGCCAGTTGCTCCTGCATCAAGTGTTGAAAAGACTTTTCTTTCCATTGAATTACTTCTGCAGTTTTGTGTAAAAAAATAGCTAGCCATCCTCATGTGGGGCTTTGGTATAAGTTGGGGAAGTTACAGAGGGATATAAAAGAGTTAAGGCATTTTCATATATCAGATCCAAAATGAAGCAATCATATCCAAAGTGAAGAATTTATTTATATATATATATATATTTATCTATTTTCAAAGTTAAGAACTTAAATACCAGTATAGAAGTATACTGATTAGAAATGGGGGGTGGGGGTGGAGGTACTGTTTTTCATCACAAGTTTTATTTGATTTTAAAATGTGTGTGTATATAACTTTAAAATAAAAACAATGCTATAATGCCAATGCCTCATTTAGAAGAAATTCAAAACCTTACAAATGTCTATACGTTTAGTTTTGAAACATTTTTACTGTGGAAAAAAATACTTAGAATAACGCATAGGAAGAATATACAACTTTGAAGTATTCAAAAGTGCTTACCTGATTAATCATCTAATCAGGAATTAAAACCTTGCCAGAACCTAGAGTGAAGCCCCCTCCCAGCCACACCTCTTTTTTTTAGGAGAAACTACTGTCCTACTTTTATGGCAGTCTTTTTATTTTGTTTTATATTTTTATCATCTAAAATACATTTTTGACCTAGATATATGTTTCCTGTTAATGAAATTTATATAAATGGATCTTACTTTTAGCATTGTTGGGTATTCATCTCTGTTGTTGCATAAATAACTGTAGTTCTTTCACAATCATTGCTACACGGTGTATTATTGGAATATCCCACTATTATTTTCTTAATGGAAATTTGGGGTATTAACAGTTTTAGGCATTTATGAATACTGCTCTGGTTCTGATGGGTGTGACTCGGTTGAGCGTCGTTGTCCCATAAAGCAAAAGGTTGCCAGTTCCCTCCCCAGTCGGGATGTACAGGAGAGGCAACCAGTTGATGTTTCTCTCCCTACCTTTTTCTCTCTCAAAAAAATACATAAAATCTTTTAAAAGTTTTTAAAAAGTAATGCTGCTATGCATGTTCTTGTACCTGTCTCCTAGTGTACATATTTATATTTAGTAAATATCTAGGAATTAGAGTGGATCTATGATGAATTTCAGAAGATACTCCGATTTTTTTCATGAAGTGTTTTTAACAGCATCATCAATAAAGTTATTTTCACACTTCATCTTTACCAGCACTTTGTATTGTTAGTCTTTTAGACATTCTAGAGGGTGTGTACTGGTATCTCATAGTGGTTTTATTTTCCATTTCCCTGATTCCAAATGTGATTGTACTTTTTAATTTTTATTAGCCAGGTTTTATAAATATTTGTGTGTATTTGAAAAGAATATATTTTCTGCAGTTTTTTGGGTACAATAGTTATATGTTTCTATTAAGTCAGTTTTGTTAATTATGTTTAAAATTTCAAATCTCCACCCATTTCTGCATGTTGGTTTAATTAGAGAGATCTTTAAAAATTTTCTGCTGTTATGGATTTGTCTTTCTTGTGTTGCTGTCCATTTTTGCTATATATATGAATGAATCTGTGATATTGGGGCACACAAATTTACAATTGTTTTATGTTTCAGAAGAGTTGAATCTTTTATCATTATTGTTTTCATTATCTTTGGGAATGCTTTTTGTTTTGAAGTCTGCCTTGATCAATAATAACATAGCTACAGCCCTCTTATAGCTAGGGTTTGCGGTTCCTTTTTCAACCCAAACTTTTATTTAAAATTTTCTGTGCCTTTATGTTTTAGAGCTGTTTTGTATATTGTGTATATACCATATGGTTTTACTTTCAGTCCCATCTAATACTTCCTTGCCTTTTAATTATAACAAAGTTTGTTTAGATTTCATATAATTACTGAGATGCATTGGGGATTAAATAAATGATTTTATGTGCTTCCTATTTATTCTGATTTTGTATTCTTTTTCTCACCTTTCTTGCCATTTTTTAGATTAAGTATTTTTTATTTTAATTACTTCTTAAATTCCCCTACCTTTTCTTTTAACACTGTTTTGTCTGCTGCCACAAGTCTAATTTTTGTTTATTTGAAAATATCCTTTTTTTTTTCACTTTCATTTTTTAAGGGTAGTATCACCAGATAGAGATCATGTTCCAGTATCTCCACTGTTTTCTGATGAAGAGTCAGCCATTACTTGTATTGTCATTTCCCATATGGAACCATTCCCTTTTCTCTGGCCGCTCTCAAGGTTTTCTCTTTGGCCTTTAACAGCTTGAATATGATATGCATATAGAAGTGGTTGTTTGTGGTTATCCTGCTTGGGTTTGTTGACATTCTTGGACCTGTAAGTTAATATTCTGTACCAGAGTTGAGATATTTTGGCTATTATTTCTTTAACAAAAAATATTTTGTACCTTTTTCACTCTTCTGCCCTTCTATCTATGTAGAATGGGTTACATCTATGTTAGACCACCTGAGATTGGCCTACTGGTCTCTGAAATTCTTAAATTTTCTCCAGTCTCTTCACTTTGTTTTTTGGTTTGGATAGTATTATTGCCTTATTTCAAAGCTTACCAATTCTTTCTTCTGCCATCTGTTATCACACCCTTCTTGTTAATTTTTTATTTTAGTTATTTTATTTTTCAGTTTTTCCTTTTTATATAAAGTTTCTATCAATACTTTGAATATATATTTAAAATTTTAATAACATACTTAAAATAGCTGCTTTGAATTTCTTATATGCTAACTCTAACATCCAAGGTACTCAAAATCATTTTCCATTGCCTTTTTTTTTTCCTGAGTATGGATTAGATTTTCCTGTTTTGTGGGGTTTTTGGTTTGTTTGTTTTTTGGATATTATAACTTTTGTTTGAAAAATGGATATTGTGAATATGTTTTGGTGACTCTGGGTTGCTAATGTTTCTTTGAGAATTATTGGGTGAAGTTTATAGTCAGAATTTGAATCTTTCCCTGTGATTTTTATGCTTTTGGGGATTCTACTAATTACCAACTGTTCTTCTGTGCTTGGGTTCTGACATTTCAGCCTTGTAGGACTTTAGCTTCCTGCTGCCCAAACTGCACAGTTGAATGCACCCTGTTGAAAAAGCACCAAACTCAGAACAGCTCCATTTTTCAGGTGTAGCTTTTTCTCTGACCTTTGCCAACTTTTCCCCTTTCAACCCCTTTAGTTCTTTTCCATGCATACATAGTTTATTAGTCATCCAGTGATTTGGGCAAAGTTTATACTGAGAATTTTTTTTTACTCCTCTATGTCTTTTGCTGCCATGCTGTCTCCATTTAAATTTCCAGCTGCTTTTCCAGGCCTAACCTCTGAGCCCTATGGTGATACTATATTTTTTTTTTTTTTTTGCAGCAATAGTTTTTCTTTGCTTATGCCACACCTGAGGTTTCCAGCAGTCTGGAGTTACCTTAATGAAATTTTGAGGATTGAGAATTTTTAAAAATATATTTTATTGATTATGCTATTACAGTTGTCCCATTTTCCCCCCTTCACTCCCCTCCACCCTGCACACCCTCTCCCACCCATATCCCCCCCTTTAGTCATGTCCATGTGTCATACTTATAAGTTCTTTAGCTTCTACATTTCTTATGCTACTCTTACTCTCCCCCAATCTATTTTCAACCTACAATCTGTGCTACTTATTCTCTGTACCTTTTCCCCCTCTCTCCTCCTCCCACTCCCCTGTGGCTAACCGTCCATGTGATCTCCATTTCTGTGGTTCTGTTCCTGTTCTAGTTGTTTGCTTAGTTTCTTTTGGTTTTGCTTTAGGTGTGGTTGTTAATAATTGTGAGTTTGCTGTCCTTTTACTATACGTGTTTTTTCTTTCTCTTCTTTTCTTAAATAAATCCCTTTAACATTTCATAAAATAAGGGCTTAGTGATGATGAACTCCTTTAGCTTGACCTTATCTGAGAAGCACTTTATCTGCCCTTCCATTCTAAATGAGAGCTTTGCTGGATAGAGCAATCTGGGATGTAGGTCCTTGTCTTCCATGACTTGGAATATTTCTTTCCAGCCCCTTCTTGCCTGTAAGGTCTCTTTTGAGAAATCAGCTGACAGTCTGATGCCAACTCCTTTGTAGGTGACTGTCCCCTTATCTCTTGCTGCTTCTAGGATACTCTCCTTCATTTTTACTTTGGCTAATGTAATTATGATGTGCCTTGGTGTGTTTCTTCTTGGATCCAACTTCTTTGGGGCTCTCTGGGCTTCCTGGATTTCTTGGAAGTCTATTTCCTTTGCCAGACTGGGGAAGTTCTCCTTTATTATTTGTTTAAATACGTGCTCAATCTGTTGCTTTTCCTCTTCCCCTTCTGATACCCCTATAATTCGGATGTTGGAACGTTTAAAGATGTCCTGGAGGTTCCTAAGCTTCTCCTCGTTTTTTTTAATTCTTATTTCTTCATGCTTTCCTGCTTGGTTGTTTCTTGCTTCCTTCTGGTCCACTCTATTGTTTTGTGTCCCAGTTTCCTTCCCTTTACTATAGGTTCTCCAAGCATCTTCCTTCATCTCTTTTATGGTAATCTGCATTTTTTCATGTTATTTGTGCCCAAAATCAACCAATTCCGTGAGCTTCCTGATCACCAGTGTTTTGAACTGTGCATCTGATAGATTGGCTATCTCTTGGTCGCTCAAAAGGATGAGTCCTGGGGCATTGATTTGTTTGAGACATGTCTGTCTGTCTCTCTCTTTTTTTTTTTTTTTGGTCTGGTTGCTCCTATTACGGTGAACACCTAAGGGCGGAGCCTTAGGTGTTCACCTGGGCTGGGCACCCCAGTCGCTAGATTGTGACATTGTATGTGGGGGCAGGGGTGGGAGCAGGAGCAGGAGGGAACAATGGCGGTAGTTCCGTTCTCCTGGGATCTCAGTCCCTTCTCTGGGATCCTGGGTTGCGTGCTCTGCCCTGGTCCACAGTGCCACCTCACTGGGTCCGCCAGCTGCTGCTTGCATACTCAGCGTCCACCGCTGCAGTGTTGCACATCCCGGAAGGCTTACGTGCTCCCGGTGCCTTAGGCGTCCAGTTCTCCCTAATCTCCACGCACTGAGACCCGCACCCATTCCTTCTCTCAGCCCCTACTACTGGTCTGGATGAATGGGTCTACTTCAACTTCTTGGCTGTCCGACTTCCATTCAGATAAATTCTCTGTCAGTTCTGGGTGTTATTCTGCCTCTAAATTGTTGTTGTTCTAATCTTGGTTGTGGGTGGAGGTACGGTGCGTCCACCTATGCCTCCATCTTGCCGGAAGTCCTCTGAATTAAACTGTTTAGCCTGACTTTTTACTTTTTAAAAATATATATTCCTGTGAGCATTTTGGGATACAACACAAAATTTCTGTAGTCTTTCATGCAGCCTACATTGTTACACCTTTATGATGTGCACATCCAGTGAAAGTGCCAAAATGAGATAAATGAATTCTTGGCCACACTGTAGTTCAGAATATACACAAACAGATGGGGTTGATACAGAGCTATCACTAGTTGCGACAGCATTTGAGAAACACAAGTTTATGCAGCTGAAGAAATTAAAGAAGGATCTGTCAGGGTGACTAAGCTAAATATTGAAAAATTACTAAAAAGGTGCTAGCAAAGTTAAAGAGAGACAGTAGGTAGCTATAGTTGACCTTGTGAAAAGGCATGAAAGCTGAGCATGGGGGCTGTTCTGGGAATTGAAGAAGTCTGGTATAGTAGAAACATGTAGTAAATGTGATTAGGGATAGACAGAAATGAGATCGTTGATGATTTTATTGAAGGACTTGAAGCATAGATGTGGCATCTTGGATTGGCTAAAAAGTTTTTTTTTCTGTACAGTGGCTCTAAGCACATCGTCTTTAACTTCATTCAAAATAATTTCGTTAGATTGCATTATGGCAGCTGTCATATCTGTGCATTACAAAAACTTAACTAAAATTGGTGAATTTTTGTATAGCCATTTTAATATTGAAGATGGAAGAAAATACACAACATTTTCAACATATTGTGTTTTATTTCAAGAAAGGTAAAAATACAACTGAAATAAAAAAAAGATTTGTGTAGTGTAGGAAAAGGTGCTGGGACTGCTCGAACATATCAAAAGTGGTTTGTGAGGTTTCTGCTGGAGATTTCTTGCTGAGTGATACTCCAGTGGTTGGGCAGACCAGTTCAAGTTAATAGCGATCAAATTGTGACGTTAACTGAGAACAATCAGCGTTATACCACATGGGAGATAGCCGACATACTCAAAATATCCAAATCAGTAATGTTATTGATGACAATGAAAAATGTGTCTTCTATTTTATGGAAAAAACTAAATGAATTTTTTCTCAACCTGATAGTTCTGGGAGGGATGAATTTGAGATGATAGTCTAGAAATAGCAGTTATAATAATCTAGGTATGAACAGCAGGCAGTAGGTATGCTGGTGCCGTCTTTAGAGAGTAAGAATTCAGAATAGTAACAATCTATTACAGGTAGGGGAAGGAGATTACTAGAGTTCAGGGTAGGACATACTGCGTTTTCAAAATTTATAGAATGTGATACAATTAGAGGTAAGTAGATTTTCTGACAAGTACATTTTCAGTGGAGTGTTCATGTAGAGATTACATATACTAGATTGAATATTAAATTGAGGAAGTAGGAGAGTGTCAATATATGCCATTCTGTATAATAATGATTCCTGGCATTTAGTAAAGTATTTAATCAGTGTTACCTGTTATTATGGCTACTATTAGTGTATACTTTTATACATCTCATTCTGTATTCTTCAACTTTTTGGCCTTTTTTGGCATATTTTTTTGACAGACAAATAATAGTATTAGGTAAACATTGAGTTAGATAGAAGTGTGTCTTATAAATAAATCCTGATTTTAATTACAGCTATTGCCACACTACTGAAGTTAATGAAAACATGTTTTGTAAAATTTTCCTGAAGAGAACTAGAAAGCTAATTTCTCATTTGAATAAATTATTTTTTCTGAAAGTAAAAAGGTACTTAGCAAGTTTCCCAAAAGTTAAAATAATCATGTTTTAGTTGAACAGTTTTTCAGACATGTCTTATCAAGAGAAAAATTGATTTGCAGTTTTTCATTTGAAAGTATTTTGTGTCATAGATGTACTTATTCATACATGAAGCAAAAAACTAAATGATGGTTTTGCCTGTATTCTTTCAGGTTTGATTTAATCTCGAATGAGGGTGTTCTTGCAGCAATATGTTAATAAGACAAAATCTAGGTAAGTAGAATACTTTTTAAAATATTACATGTCAAAGTAAGAGCAATACAAATATTTGTTTTAAAAATCTGCCTTCGAGTCCAGAATCAGTGAGTTTTTTAATAAGATTTTGAAATACAAAGAATCAACTTTTTGATGCATTTCATCCAGTTGATTTGGTGGGAGAAAAATACAACTACCAAATTGTGGAACTAAGTTTTTTTCCTTTTTTTATATTGAGCTTTATAATTCAAGTGTGTGGTTTCCATTAATTGTAAAACATATTAGAAAACCAAATGCATGCCCTGGCCAGTGAGGCTTAGTGAATTGATTGTTGGCCTGTGAACCAAAGGATTGCCATTTCAGTTCCCAGTCAGGGCACATACCTGGGTTGCATAGTAGGGGGTGCGTGAGAGGCAACCACACACTGATTTTTCTCTCCATCTTTCTCCCTTCCTTCCTCTTTCTCTAAAAATAAATAAATAAAATCTTAAAAAATAAAAAAGAGCCCTGGCTGGTGTGGCTCAGTGGATTGAGCACGGGCCTGGGAACCAGGGGGTCACTGGTTTGATTCCCAGTCAGGGCCCATGCCTGGGTTGCAGCTGGGTCCCAAGTGGGGGATGTGTGAGAGGCAACCACACATTGATGTTTCTCTACCTCTCTTTCTCCTTTCCTTCCCTCCCTCTAAAAAATAAATAAATAAAATATTTAAAAAATTAAAGAGAAAAGAAAACCAAATTTAGTAAGAGACTTGTTACATTGCTTCAGTGTTCTCTTGTGGGTTATAGTACTTGAGTAGTCTTTGCTTTTGTAAATTTTACTTTTTATTTCTGTGAATAAAGCACTGCCACAAGTTGGTTAAAATATCCCAATTGTTACTTTTTAATATGATGTTTAGAATTATAAATGATTTTTAAAATATTTTCCTTGCTGATACCTCTACTGAATGATTTTTCTAATTTAGCATTCTGATTTGCTTTAATTTCTTAAAGCTGTTGACTTTCAGAAAGTTGAATTGTGGCTATGTACTTTTGGTCTGGTATGTGAAAGAATGCTTTTTAATAATATCAGCTGTTGAAATGTTAAAAAATATGTATACATTTACTATCTATTGGTAATGAGCATAGCTTCAGGATATACAAAGAAGAATACTTTGATAAAATTGCACTTAACTTGATCCTTTTCTAATCTAACCAGATGATTCAACTGTCAGAAACTTCTTGATCTCACAGTTAAAAAAAAAAAAGGCTAGTTAAGTGCTGTGATTGAGTAATGTGCAGTTAAATATTGTATTCTCAATAAATGGTTTGGGTGTAATTTGAGCAGTTTTCCCTTTATTGCTATGATATAATAATGGTTTTTTGAAGAGTATTTCTTTTCTCTATGTCATGTTAAGTGCTTCTTGTGCATTATTAATCTTCATATCTCCTATAAGGTAGGTACTGTGGTGTAGAAAATTTTTGGGTTTTTTTGGCTACTAGGGAGCTGTTTCTTTTTATTTAGGAAGAGCACTTGATTTTCATAGCATTATAAGGAACATTTGTCTGTATATCTTCCTGAAGGAGAGAAGCAGTTAGACTTTTGGACTTAAGGTCTTATAGGGATTTTGTTTGCTAGTTGAATATACAGTGTCTATTAGAACTTTGATTTTGATTTCTTACAGGTTAGATATTACTCATGAGGTGACAGTAGTTTAATTTACTCTTATCTTATCCCACCACAATTATATATGAACTTTTCTTTTTTATTAAGTTCTAATGTGTGTGTGGTAAAATGTGGAAAATTTAAAATACAGAGCTGAATGAGTTTTTACATATGTGTTTACATGTATAACCTCCATCCAGATCAAGATGCAGAATGTTCTTACTGCCCCAGAAAGTTTCTCTTATTCTTCCTTTTGCAGTCCAATAGCCTCTCCTCCTGAGGTAAGCATCATCCTGTATTCTATCAGCAGAGCTTAGTTTTGCCTTGAATTTTGTGTATATAATGTATTCTTTTGTACCTGTTTTTTATTCAACATAATGTTTTTGAGTTTCCTTCATGTTGTTGTATCAGTAGTTCATTATTATTTTTTAATTGATTTTAGAGAGAAAGAGAAACATTGATTTGTTGTTTCAGCCTTATTTATGCATTCATTGGTTGCTTCTTGTAGGCACCCTTAGCTGGGTACTGAACCTGCCAATTTAGCATATCCAGTCTATGCTCTAAGCAGCTGAGCTACTTGAGCAGTAACATCCCATTGTGTGAACATCCTGCAAATTTTTCATGCACTCTGCCTATAATTTTGCTTATTGGGTTCTCTGAGTCTCTGACCTCACTTGCCAGCATTCTACACTGCTTTCCTTCCTCTAGATGTCCCTTTCATTTTTCTCCATCATCTGTACAATAGTAATAAAATATAAGTTCTATAACATGGTATACAATGGTCTCACTATAGCTATTTCAGAATGCTTAGCATTAAGTAAACAATATAGGATGTTTATATTCCTAGTTTTAGTCCTAAGTATATGTTGTCAGTCTTCTCCAGCCCCTTACCTTCTCAATTGCCAAGGTCCCTTCCTCCTTGTCAGCTTATCTCCTAACATGATCCATCTCAAGCATTATCTTGTCCTTTGAGCCAGGCCTGGCTATACTGCAGTAGTCTACTTTCTTTACTAGGCTGTGAACTCTTTGAAGGTAGACACCATCCACGCCTTATTTATCTCAGCACAGTACTTAGTGAATGTTTGTTAGACATAGAACAGTGAATAGAGATATCTCTTCAGACAAATAGATATTCAGAATATTTGCTGGAATGGGATGGGGGCATTAATAATTCAGTTGCTGTTGGCTATAGGAAGGTGTCTATGAAAGCAATACAAAGATAGCATTATAGACATTTTGGGAAGAGAAATAAAATATTCCCAAGTCGTCTTTCAGTCCAGTTGGAATAAAATACCTAGTCATTGTTGATTTTGATTATGCTTTCCAAATGAAGGCATTGATCCATGTTAAGGAAATTAGAGTGTTTGTCACTAATATCATTCCCTTTGTGAGTTTGTACTAGTTATTTCTCTGAAGATTATCAGAAGATTTTAATCCACAGAGAAGATTGGAAAGACTTATCCCATCTGTAAGAAGTAAAGAAAACTTTTACTTATTTTTCTCAGGGTAAAAATCTATTGGGAGTGGAGGAAGAAATTATATTATGGCCTAGAATTGTGATAATATTTTTAACTCCTGTAGCTTAGGAAACTTGCTGTTTACTGAAAAGTTTTTTTAAAAATGTTTGTTTTATCATTGCAGATCTGTAATATACATAAACAATATATTGTCTCCTTTTTTACTTTTTGTATTTATTGGGGTAACATGGGTTAATAAAATCACATAGGTTTTAGGTGTACCCTTCTGTAACACATCATCTGTGTATTGTGTTGTGTGTTTACCACCCCAAGTTAAGTGTCCTTCCATTACCATTTATCTATCCCCCTTACAATTTCTTAAGAAATGAAACTTTTTAAAAACTCGAAAGCATTTCATACCAGTTTTCTTTCATATTCGAAATTCGGCTAGTTGTGTTGGCTATTGTAGTCACCTGGGGGGGTTTTATGCCTGAAGCTTGATTGCCTTCTGGCAAGTCCAAAGCAAGGACAGGTTCTTTCCCACTGGGATCAATTTGTTGCTTTTGCTCTGCAGCTTCTGCCATAGAGGTTGAACACAGAGTTGGACGTTGACCCCATGTCATGCTGTTCCTCTACCTCCCCACAAGGATTTTCTTAGACACAGACTTTCATTGAATGTAGAACCTCATGTATTTCTTTTATTTTATCCTGGATGTTAATTGTTTAGTTTTTTGTTGGTAAAATTTGAGTATTTAGAAAAATTTAACCTTGCATTTGCTTGACTTAAGGTCTTTAAAAGATTTTAGACTGGGTTTTTTTTCCCCTCTCACGGGCTGATAGGATACCTCAGTTTCACACTCTTTCTCCTCATTTTGTGCTTGAATATTGTAGTGAGCTGCTGCTAAGCATTTCCATTTTGAAGAATCCCTAAATCCAAGAATTGGAAGTTTTTCATGGAAGTGTCTTATATTAGCTTAATTTTCTTAATTTCCAAATTAACTCCTCTGTGCTTCACTCTCTTTAGTAGCATTGTAATGTGCTTCTCTTTGTTGTAATGTGAAAAACACCTTTTAATTAGTAAACTTACTTGTTTTTCATTCTTGTTGAGATTGCATAGCATACATCTGACTGTTTTCAAGTATATTGCCAAGCAACATTTAGTATTTTCAAAATTGTAATTTTAAATAAAAGTCACATTTTCTTATATGTGTGAATAGTACAGAAATGTTTAAAATAAGAGGGTAAAACTCTCTTCTCTCCCAACACTGTGCTCTGTATAAGTTATCAAAAATAGCTTGTATGTATTCCTCATGTTTCTTTCTACATTTACTGATATATCTTGATCATTCTTTCATGTATACATTAGGTATAATGTAACTTTTATTATTGGTGGACACTTCTTGGGTTTTTTGCTTGTATAAGCAATACTACAATAAATATTCTTGATTCTATCATTGGGATTGTGTGAGAGTGTGTAGGATAATTCATAACAGTGGACCACTGGGTCACTCTATATGTGCCCTTTAATTTCTGATATATATTGCAAAATTGCAATGAGATTGTACCATAGCATTCTTATTAGCAGTTCTTGAGAATATCTGTTTTCCCAATGCTGTGCTAAATGGTAACTCGTGTTTTAATTATTGCCAGTCTAATTAGTGAAAAGTGGTATTTGTGCATTTCTTTAATTGTGATATTCCTCAAAAGTTTGAAATGTCACTTTCATCATAAATTAATTTCTTTGGAGAGTATGTAACTTGCAAAGATGTTGCTTCATTGGTAAATCCATCAATTAACATACATACCCTCATGATTTTTGTATTACATTCTGTTATTAATACTGAATAACCAGGTTTTAATAAAAGTCACATATGCTTATGTTTGAGCAAGTAGTTTTTTTATTCCCTTATACTTTTTATT